GAGCTTGAAAACCATCATGGATTATGTACGTATAATTGCAAGTCGCACCTGATATGCTTTTCGACCGATAGAATATGAGACTTATGCCATCTTGAATGCAAAACCTAGATCCGTTTTGTCAACGAGCATTGGATGTATCCTGGCAACCAGCCCGACGAACTTCAGAACCTTCATCCAAGAGGGGAAGGTTCCTTTCTCCGATCTTAGTGTTTTGCGAATTGACCAACTCTCGCAGTAAACTGACTCAAGCAACCAGGGCAGGACATCATTTTGTATCAGGTCGAATTGGGCTTTACAAAAGTAAAGAGTATCTCGGAGCCCACGTCGGAATACGCGGTCTTGTCAAGCTGTCAGATATGAACGTCAAGATGAAACCTGAAGAGAAACAAAAAATAGTGCGTGCCTGGGAATGGCTGAAGCAAAATCACCCGTTGATAAAACATGTGGATGTCGATGAACCTAGCGACTTGATGAACGCTACTGAGAAAGTAGTTGACAAGGAGCCGGAATCAAATGAACGAAGGAACGTCAACGAGTCAGGGTTTCGCGCGAGCCACATGGGACCAGTTGGCACCGGTGGTCCAAGGACGGCAGACGAGTCGAATAATCTGGACAACATGGCTATTGGAATTCTAGGACGTGATCAAGAACTTGTCAAGTACTCAAACCCATACCTCCTGGGATATCTCTTTCCTACGCTCTACCCCGAAGGTCAAGGATTCTTTTCAAAGGAATATGGAGTCATCGAGGTTGATAAAAATCACAGAGTACAATGTGATGATGGTAAGCTTAGTACTCTTAGGGAGTCTCTAGACAAGTAGCTCTAAGGCAAGGACTGTAACTGATCGATGCACGTCTTGAAACGTTAGATAATAATGATAATCACTTGGTGGACCGGAAGGAAAACGATGAAGAGGACGTTGAAGGATATGTGTCGTGGTCGGATTCTGATGGCGAAGGAAGTGATGATGGCGATAAAAGCGAAGGTAACTTTCGTATCTGAATGCAAAGAAGATAGGCCGCCGAAACACTACAAACGGCTAATCAACATATCAATTTTTACCAGATGAAATCGAGACTGATATTGGAGGAGATGGTGAATCCAAGTACTCCAAGAACACGATCAAGAGCTACGCCAAGTTTCGCCTGCTGAGCGTGGATAGACGCTGGGGCCGAAATGTCAAGTTTATCCTGATGATGTTCGATTGGATCCAGAAATCTGCGATTTTTAGTTATCAGATGCGCCTCGCCCCTGTCACGACTGCAGGTAGAGCTACTCGAGGCTATAATGTCTTGGAGCGCTCGAATAACGGACAAAGTATGTATTATCCGAATGTAATACTCGTAAGAAAGGGAGTTACCAACTATATTGCTCGAACAACGCTGACCATGCGAGTATACTGGATAATAGAGACCAAGTACCGGGAATCTCAAACCGTTGCCATTCCTCCGTTTATCCGAACGGGTGCCAAGTACAAGAGTTTGTTGTATCAGAAATTCTCGGCCCTTTTCGAAGAATTTGGCACCCCAGAGTTATTCGGAACATTCACGTGTGACGATCGAAGTGATGGTCAAGTCGCCATTGCCGAGCATTTTGGTGGCCCTGGAGCCAAAACACACAAAGATCCTGTTCTATTTACGATGCACAGTGGAATCGTTTCTGGAACTGGGTTGTGACCAAAAGAAAGGGCCGGCCGGGATGGGCAGAAAGACGAGTCGGAGGTGTTCGAGCGTGGTGCTGGGTATTCGAATTGCAGGACCGAGGAACCCCACATACTCATTTTTGCATTTGGACAAAGAATAGTATCGAGAAGATGATAGACAATGGAATCATCAGTTGCACGCTGCAGCAAGAGGACGAGGAAGACCGAGCACTAATTCTCAAACACCAGATCCACAAATGCACTGCGTACTGCAAGTCCGAACCTAGTAGTCCCTGTCGCTTCAAGTTCCCTAAGCCTCCTAGCAGTCGTCGCACATATCTCAGTGAGGAGGATGATCGCTATGTTCTGCAGCGAAAACCTGGAGACGAGCGTGTCAATGGCTATAACATGGAGCTCCTTCGATTTGGCCGCGTGAACATGGACTTGCAGTACAACCAAGGAGACAAGGCCAAGAACTACATGTGCAAGTACGTGACCAAGCAGGCTGGCGCAAAGCTCGCCACCAATACCAGGGAGGCTGATGCTGGCTTGACTCGGGATGTTGGATCTTCACCAGCGGATATGCCGTCTAAAGCCTACATTGAACATTTCCACTACAGAAATGTTGGTATAGTGGAGGCTATTATGGACATATGTGGGTGGAAGATGCACGGTTGCTCGCACAATGATGTATTTTTGCCAACGGACCTGCCCCCGAAGCGCAATCTCCTTCTAAAACGAGTGGCCGCGCTAAGAGCCTCGCCGGATAGCACAAACATTTTTCTCGATGACAAGTGGACCAAGTACCTCAAGCGACCTAGAGGTACCGTATGGATATATTGACTGGGTTCATGTATTTTGAGTTTGAGGTTTTAGGGTTTTAGGTGCTTTTAGGGGCTTTTAGGGGCTTTTAGGTCTTTAGGGTCTTTAGGGTCTTTAGGGCTTTTAGGGTTTTTAAGGGTTTTATTCACTATGCATTAGATACTGACCGAGGACTATGCTTTAAATAGAGGCGAAATTCGAAGATATGACCTTTCCCTATTTCTTCAAGCATTACCGCTATGGGAAAACGAAGAGTAGGGAGTTTTACCTTGATGACAGAGGAATTTATGTCACTGAGGGAGCAGTCGGGAAGGACGCTTCAATAAGAACAAGACACGTCAACACTACCAATTCCGAAGATGCCTTCATGCACTTGTTGATGCTGCACCGCCCCTGGAGGACAGACGTCGACACCTGGATTGGACCCGGTACGGACCACGAAACCTATCAGTCTTTGGCTCTTGAAATCCTTGGTCGGGAAAAGATAGGACGGCTGGCTGAGGGATTATTAGATGTTCTGGATCATCCCGAAGCCTACGAAAACCCAACGAACCAGGAGGATTCCGACCAGGCTGAAGACTTTGAATGGACGGATGACCAGCAAAAAGTTCTCGATGCAGTGCAAAACAGCTTTCTTAGTCTGGAGGGATGCCGCATTTTAGTGACAGGAGCCGCGGGCACTGGCAAGTCAGCTGTACTCAAGAAGATATGCAATATCGCCGAGGACCATAAATTCGTGCCGATTCGTCTTGCGCCGTCGGGTGTCGCAGCTGTGAATATCGAGGGCCAGACATTGCACCAGTGGTTTCACATAACAAAGATGGGTGGTCATCGAGGCTTCCCAAACTATGAATCTACCAAGATCGCCGTGCAGTTGATGGATATTTGGGATGAAGGTAAAAGGCCCTTTTTCCTCATTGACGAGGTGTCGATGATCTCAGGAATGATGCTGACGGCTTTATCCAAAGCACTACAGGAGGCAGCGATGGTAGATCGCGGTATTGTTTTCGGTGGCTTCCCAGTTGTGATGTTTGACGATTTTGGGCAGCTTGGACCAATCAACAAAGCTCTTGATACCACAGACTGGCTGTGGAAATCTGACGTCTATCGGAGCTTCCAGCGGATGGACCTTTTGCAAGCCTGCCGACAGTCCACGGATCCAGGATTCAAGTCGATGCTTGACGATATCAGGCGTGGGGAACTGAATTTTGCCATGGCCAGCGTATTTCTGGAGATATGCCTGGCATCCAAGTCCAGGCCTGTTCCTGACGACGCTGTCCATCTGCTATCGCACAAGAGAGAAGTTGACGAAGAAAACAAGAAGAAGTTGCGCGCTTTACCTGGTGAAGTGTGGGTCAGCGTTGCACGCGATAACGCTGGTATAACTAAAGATCTAGCTAAACGTGAGGTACTCGAGAAAGAAACAGGACTGTTGACATTTTTGCGGCTGAAAATCGGAGCGAGAGTCATGTGTACGTCAAACTTAGATGTTGCCGGCGGCCTAGTCAACGGGACTACTGGTGTGGTGACCAATATACTCGGGAAAAACGTTGTCGAGAATGAAAAAAGCGAGGAAGTAATGTGAATAGGTGATTATTGGGCAAGAGTGTATTAAATTACCTGACGAAGTGACCAGTTGTCTAAACGAAGCCGAGCCTTTATCGACTTCCAGTCGAGGCCGTCTGCAGCCATTTTTTTGACCCACTCAAGCTCGATTCCACTCAGGGGCATTTTCGATCTGGCCTTCGCCGAATCGTCATGATTGTGGCGCCAACGGTACACCACCTGTACTTCATCTTTGTCCCGAAGCTTCCGCATCCTGATTTCGACTGGGCAATCGTTGCCAACAGAGGGGCGTTTGATTACCAATTGAGAAGGAGGACGGTGTCGTCTGCAGCAAAACCGAAAGCTCCAATCATATGATGGTGGTCTACCAACAGAACCCGGAGTCCTCGTATGGATTGGTAATAGATCGTCGGCGTTCTCCTTCTTGAGGGGGATGTGTCGAAAACCACTCTCAAACATCATTTGCCATTGCCTGGCAACTCGTTCGGTGTACCAAAAGGTTTTGAATTCTTCACCGGTGAAAACTGCTATCCACTCATCCCTTTCAGAGGGAATCGCGAACGGCTTGACGAGTTCACGAGGGTCGAATTCATCCGTAAAGAGGATGATATCCCTAACCCTCAAACCGGTCATGCTTAGGCAGGAGAGTAGTGGAGGAGGAAAAAGAAGGAAGGGGAGGGAGCGAGAGGGTGAAGTGAATGCAAAGAGGAAAAGGAAGAAATACCCTCCTCATAGAAACATTGATACTTGTCTTTTTATATACCTGTTTAATATGCCCATTTTGATTCCGATTCCATTTCTCGAATCTCCGTCTAAAGTTATATTCGCTGAGTAAGGCACCAAAATGGCAACCATCTGCAACAGTTGAACCTTCGATCAGTCTCTTTCTTCCATACAATAAAAAAATACTGTGGTTTCAGTATGCCTTACTGAGCTTGAAGAATTGCTTTTGTTTTACGAAGGCGTTTATTATGCCGTGGGCTGGGTCAGATAAGGTCCCAGCTGCTTCCTCGCAATGTCAAGAAGCCTTTCTAGCTCCTTCTCCTTGGCCATTACCCTCTTCTCTACTTCCAAGCAAATCTCCTTCTCTTGCTCAAGTACAGCCTTTTCCTGCTTTGTTGCTGCATTGATTTCGGCAAGGCGGATTGCTTTCCTGAACTCAATTTCCGCCAACTCTGTCTTCTGAATCAGATCCATCCGCCGTATTTCCATCTCTTTCCAGGCATCAACCTCATATTTACCCAACGTATTAAGTTGTTTGAGTAAATCGCTTATGGGGCTTTTTGGTTGCACTTTGGACCCTCCACTACCGCCCTTCTGCCCTTCGTCTCGGTCGGCTTGCGAGAAGATCGTCCATTGTGACCCAAATGCTGGCGTTACCCGCGTCGCTGTACGATACCGGCCTCTCTCTAAGGACTTATCCAGTTCCTCTTCAGCTGCATCCCCAGCATTATCATCCTCCATAACCGTAATAACGTCTGCCCATCCTTGGTTATGTCCGGATCTTGTATCCGCATCACTCCTCTCATCCCCGCTGCTCCCATCAGAATGGCGTTGGGCACTGTCGGTTGAACGAGGTCCGTCGGGGTTTTTATCGATGATGACGTTGTTATCAAGGTTTGTGAGAGAGTCGGTACTGAGGGTAATGCCGTCGCTCCATACAGAAGCCCATACCGGCTCCAAAATAAAGTAGTAGGTGCATCTCTCTTTGACTGCATCCCGCCAAGTCATCTCGTCCGTTCTGCCGAAACCCGAAGAATGCCGAAACCGGTGCGCAAGCTTGAAATGCTGAGACATCTTGGCAATCTTGTTCTTGATCTTCCCTTCATCGACCACGAATCCAGCATGCTCCTTTTGCTGATTAAACTCGGAAGCAAGGTATCGATGGACTGCCGCCTTGGTCGTGTATCGAACGCCTGGTGGAGCCGGGCATACCTTGCTGGCCTGCAGTGGGAGGTAGATCTCCGGATCCGTGAGCCTTTTTGCTAACCAGAGTTCTCTGCCGCCTTGGAAGAGCGTATCATCGGCTCCAGACTTTGACTCTTTAGGAGGCGGGAGGAGTGCCAGCTCAGAGGACATCGTCTTGCGCTTATTTCCATTGGTGATTGGGGCCAGGGTGACAGGTGTCTTCAGAAAGTCGGGGGATGCTGTTGTTTTCCCTTTTTCAGGCGCGGATGGAGGAACCATGTATGTTGATGAGTGATGTTGTTGCTGGTCGTTGGTATATTGTTGCTGGTCGTTGGTATATTGTTGCTGGTGGTGTGGGTTAGGAAGGCTTAGAGCCTAATTGTTACGCCTACTGTGGAGCCTTACACTTGTTTGCACTGGAAATAAAAGTGAAGGTGAGCGGAAAGAAAATTTTCCGTTCCCGCTTTTGATTCTCTCCTTTTTTGGCATCGATTCTAGGCTCTGATGGCATGACTTACTACAAGACACTCACAAGATATTCATGCAAGATGCATACATCCAAGATATTCATGCCAGATACATACATCCAACAGATATTCATGCAAGATGCATGGTGGCAACAGGCCCAAAAAGTAATTGGTCAAGTAGTCGATTGCTAATAGCAACAAAGACAATGGATGAAGGAGAACTAGTAACACCATCCTTGCCAACAACATGGTATAAATAAACAGCAGATCTGACAAGGGTTATCATCAACAAAAGCAACTTTGTTCAGCCCTTCTTTCTCTTCTTTACCCCTCTTCTCTCCTCCCACCCATCTTCATCAATTCTTCGCCTTTCCTCTTCGCAGCACCATTCTTATCATCAACAAAAGCGACTTTGTGCCACCCCCATCCTTCTTCAATTTTTCATCCTTCTCCTTCACAGTACCACTCTTACACCAACTATACATTGTTTTCTGCCCGGATGGGCATTCCATACCTATGGCCCTTTGTCCGGAAGAAAGGGTATGAGGCCCGTCTACTGTCTCAGTTCCCTCAAGACCCTCTTCCTACGAACGCGTTTTATCGCGTGGATATTCTCGCGTCCTTCTTTTCAGTCATTCGAGGTGCCTACAGTAACCATGATTTGTCAACGGCGAACACTATCATCGCGCAGCACTTGCTATCATGCGGCCTTCCTCAAGCATCAACTGTTCTCTATGTCGATGGTCCATCACCGGAGGAAAAGCGCAGGACTCGGGAGTTCCGGGACAGAAAGCGGGCAGATGCTTTGGCGAAAGCAGAGGCATCAATTAGCGAGATGGAGAACATCTTCAGGAGTAGAGGAAGGCTTCGGAAACCGCACTTCACGAAATTGACCAAGCATCTCCACGCTTCCTTTGTATTGTCGATGGACTCTCGAAGGGCTCTGGCTCAGTTCTTGCAGGAACTTGGATGGAGCGTTGTCGAATGTGTTTCGGAGGCAGATATTGCAATTGCCAGCGATTGCGGAGCCCATGATATCGCTATCTCGGGAGACAGCGACAGCCTCATCTATTCCTCCATTGAAACTATCTGGAGGCCTTTGAAACGAGGCCAATACCTTGCGTACGATGTACCCGAGCTGCTGAAACACTTGGAGATATCAAGGAACGCCCTTACCGTCCTTGGTATAGTATGTCGCAACGACTACTCCTCCAACATTAGTCGTCTAGGGGTGTCGACCAATTTCAAAATTATCCTGTCTTTGGAAAAGGATGGTAACTGCTCCTCATATCTGCTGTTTTATTAACAGAAGCATCGTGACAAGTGAAAGTACTATTGCATCTAATACATCCTTTCTTGCTTTCTGTCTTTCCTTTTTGTTTAGCGACATTCACTGATCCTTCTGCAATGATAGGGGCTTATTTGGCCCACAAAGACGTTACCTGTAAAAACCCCCAGCAGAACCAGTTCGATGCAGCTCTAAAAATATTTGTCCGTCAAGAGTTCAGTACAGATCCTACTCCACCTCCACAAGAGCTCAACCATGACGGCGCCCAGGGAATCACCCAGAGATTGCAAGATATTCGCCTTAAGTTAGAGAGCAGCAAGAGGTAAGGTCTTCCCTCTTCAATCTCGATTACAATGTGAATATGTATCATCATCTAAGAACAACAATCATTGTCTAGATACCTTTACAGCATTAACGTTTTAAAAATGGATTGTCAACCAACCCCCCTTTTAGATCTTTCGTTGGTGGCCAGGCAGAGGAACGACGGCATATATTCAACCGGTACTGTACTGTCGATCGCCCTCCGGAACGCCGTCCACCTCCCCATGATTCAGGAAGACAGTACAAACACCGTCATCGATACGCCATCAAGTCTCGCTCCCAGCTAAAGAAGCATGACCCTCCAGAGACCATGATGCAGTATCAGTTGAAGCCATGGAAATTGCAACCAGAGTCTCCCCTGGATCCGTCGATCAATACCTCGCCCCCCAAGGCTACACATAAGCAGCAACGACCGCGGGACGTGGCAAACATGGACAAAAGGGAACTTGTCAACGAAATGCAGTGGGATCATCCTACACGGACACTTGACATCGGTACCATTAACGCCAACGCCACCCGAGCTCTGAATGGGGGGATCGACGTGGCACACTTCCAGGCAGACACACACACTTATCTCTCAGCAATCAAAGCGTCGCTTCGAGACGTTACCCGGATTTCGTCACGCGTAAAGCGAACCGCTCAACGCGCAATTGGCCAATACATTGAACGGCTTTCTGCGCATAATATCGATGAAAACGACAACAACGCCACCACCAATACCACCAACGCCACCGAAGCTCACTAACACCACCGGTACCATCAACACCGCCGATGCCACCAACGCCACCAACGCCACCGATACCACCAACACCAACGATGCCACCAACACCAACACCAACACCAACACCAAGAAACTTGATAGCGTTGACCGTGAACTTCTCGACATTCTTTGCCCTGGCTTCTCTTACAAGGATTTAGCCGATAGCACCGAGGAGGGGGCAGACCAAAAGCCAGACAAACCCGAGGGACTCGAGGAACACGACGACAGTCTCGACAAGAAAAACAAGGCGCTATCGTTTCTTATGTCGCTCCTTATAGCCATACATTCCACCAAGCTTCCCAAAAAGAGCGGGATGGGTTTACAGGTTCGGAGATTCATCGAACGGGCGCAGGACTTCTTGCCCATCTTTACGGAGGGTAGAACTACGGAGGAGTATTCTGGGTCTTCGTTTCTGAGATCTGCCGCCTTGCAGTTATCCGTCGAACTAAAAAAGCACTACAGGAATGGATCGATCGATCTTCGAAAGAGGGTAAAAAGAAATGGAACGCTTTGTTCTATTCAAATATTAGTTTTTAACATGGATCAATAGTTAACACGATTTTTTTTCTGCAAAAAATAGATCGAAGTCCTCAAGCGCAAGAAGGTCTTGCCTCCAGAAGCGAGAGATTACATTACGCCCCAAAGATCTGCGATAGAGAATTTCATACTCTTGAACAGGGCCTACGGGAGCCGTCGCTCATTAGTGCCAATGTCGCCTTTCGATGTCAAGTTTATTACTTTGTCGGAGCTGGATCTAACCAGGATCTTTTGGCCGAACAAACCCTTGAAGAGAGTGCTTCAGTCGTACGCCCACGAGGACTTCCAAACTATCGAGTTTTCCGAACAAGTCACACAGGCAGACGTTGGCTATTGGCTGTCAAGAAAAACACCCGGTTTTCTCATTACCAGGCTACTCACCGATATTGGCCGGTACTCAGCGGATCAACGCAAAAAGCTCAAAAACTTTTCCAGATCCGCCTTCCTGATGCCTTTGGACGATATGAAGAGTCATCTCCAGAATATTCGAGCCGATGACTTTGAGCCAGTCTCCTACAGCGAGAAAGGCTACGTCCTGCGTGGATCGATCCGGACAGACGGGTTCCGACTCCAAGTGCTTGCTTTCAAATTGAATGAGCTCCACTCGGTCAAGTACAGACGACTACCCGCGGATAAGCTGCCTTCTCGACTAACATCCACCGTTGGCGGCACGGATTATTTTTTGACGGAGATCAGGAATGCCTTTTCGACCAAGCAGGATGTCACCCAGCTCTGGAGTTGCGATCCCAAGAGTATCAAGATCCTCGGCATTGACTTGGGCCAAGCATTTGTCGTTGGAGCGAGTGCGATTCTACCCACTCGCGAGCAGCCGAATGCCGAACAAGGACAAGAGTCTGCTGCCACTACCATGGAGTCGTCGCTTTCGAGTGATGCAGAGGAGGATGAAGGGGCCGAGGAACCGTCGCCCAAGTTTTTCAACTTGGCCGTCAAGCAGAAGGCTGTCTACCAGCCTACCTTCAAGCACAGACGATGGCTGGAGCGTAGGAAAGAGCAGACAGTTGAGGGGGGAGCTTCCATCAGCCAAATCGAGACCAGTCTACCTCCTTGCCGTGGCCCAGAGGCGAGTATCAGCAACTACACTCAGAGAGAACTGGAGGTGGAGGCCGATCTCGATTCGTTCTATGGCAGTGTTGTCCTGAAGAAGCACAGGTGGAACGCTAGAAAGGCTCGAGCAGAGGAGTATAGATTGATCGCCGATCGTCTCTTACAGCTTGTTGGAGGATCGACAGGGGCCAAGAGAGACGAGAACAACAAGGTCGTTATTGGCGTGGGTCTTGGGAAGTTTTCTTCCAAGATCAGATTATCATCTTTGCATGAGTCCTTTCAGTGGTACTTTGTTCAAAAAGTAAGTGTGTAAATTACAGCTAAGTGCTTGCTCCTAACCCTGAAAGAGACACTTATTAACTATTTTTTCGCTCTTTCTCCCTTTTATTTTTCAGGCCCGATCTCTTGGTTATATTGTCGTTGGTGTCAATGAGTTTTACACTTCGAAGAAATGCCCGACTTGTAGAGAGTTCGTTGGTCAAGTTGACATACGGCGACTTTATTGTCCAAAGTGTCAAAAGTACATGCACCGCGACATCATGGCCGGCCACAACATGTGTAATGCCATCCGAGGACACTTGCTCGAGCAACAGCGGCCACTCTACCTCCAGCCCAAGGACACTGACGGCAACTATCCTTGGATGCAGAGCGAGCGTAGTTTCAAGCCGGGTCCTCGCCCTGGGGGGTCTGGTAGGCAGAGGGGGGTCAAGCGAAAGGCGACGGATGAGGGGGATGGGAGTCAAACGAAAAAACCAGCAACAGTATAGTTATTTCCTATTTTAGTATATTAGATCCATATGTGTATAAGCAAATACATGGATCGAGTTATGGTTATAGGGGGCGCTACAATTACACACTTCGGTGACGTAATTATGGCGTCCATTGTCCTGTAACCATTACTCATCACACCCACTCACCACCTTTACTCTCTTGTCTTTATTATCACTCCCACGCCTTCATCGTCTTTGCCACCACTCTCGCGCCCTCATTGCCTTTGCCACCACTCTCACGCCTTCATCGCCTTTGCCACCACTCCCAGGCCCTACTCTTCATCACTCACCACTCTTACTCTCTTGTCTTTGTTATCACTCCCACGCCTTCATCGTCTTTGCCACCACTCTCACGCCTTCATTGCCTTTGCCACCACTCCCACGCCCTACTCTTCATCACTCACCACTCTTACTCTCTTGTCTTTGTTATCACTCCCACACCTTCATCGTCTTTGCCGCCACTCTCACGCCTTCATCGCCTTTGCCACCACTCCCACGCCCTACTCTTCATCACTCACCACTCTTACTCTCTTGTCTTTGTTATCACTCCCACGCCTTCATCGTCTTTGCCACCACTCTCGCACCCTCATCGCCTTTGCCACCACTCTCACGCCTTCATCGCCTTTGCCACCACTCCCACGCCCTACTCTTCATCACTCACCACTCTTACTCTCTTGTCTTTGTTATCACTCCCACACCTTCATCGTCTTTGCCGCCACTCTCACGCCTTCATCGCCTTTGCCACCACTCCCACGCCCTACTCTTCATCACTCACCACTCTTACTCTCTTGTCTTTGTTATCACTCCCACGCCTTCATCGTCTTTGCCACCACTCTCGCACCCTCATCGCCTTTGCCACCACTCTCACGCCTTCATCGCCTTTGCCACCACTCCCACGCCCTACTCTTCATCACTCACCACTCTTACTCTCTTGTCTTTGTTATCACTCCCACGCCTTCATCGTCTTTGCCACCACTCTCGCACCCTCATCGCCTTTGCCACCACTCTCACGCCTTCATCGCCTTTGCCACCACTCCCAGGCCCTTCTCTTCATCACTCACCACTCTTACTCCCTTGTCTTGTCTTTGTTAACTCGCTCATCTACCACTCACACGTCCTCTCACCATCCTCCTTCGTAATCAATTGCACTTGGCAGTGACCCTACAAGTACTGCCTAGCTGACCCATCAAGACAATACAAAGTAGGTACCGATTGTTCCATTCGCACGCGATCGTGATGTCGCGTAGAGAACCTGAGGAAGCAAAGCCTTTTCTTTGGACCACTCTACATATTCTAACGTGTCATCGGACTGTAGGAGAAGACATCTTGATGCATTTTGTCTGTGGGCAGGTGCATCCCGTTCGTGTTTTGTGTTTTTTGTTTCTCATCAGGCCTTCAGTGGTAGTGATGCACATTGTCTGTGGGCTGATGTGTTCCCATTCCGTTGACTGCCATGGCTCGGAGGGGATACTTTCATGTTACTGTGGGCATCTATGTTTCCTTTGCGCAATGCAAACTAGTTCGTATTTTAAACAAGTGTACTTGGTAGGGATGCGACGAGATTACTGCCAGTGTCTCTGATCCCTATACTCCTGACGTGTCATCGGACTGCAGGAGATGTCACTTTGGTGTATACTGTCTGTGGACAGGTGCATCACAGGTGTAGCGTTAAGTGTCGCTTTGTCTGTGGGCAGGCACACTTGTGTTGTCGTTCATGTGTGTATGCTGTAACATGTTCGTCACGAATAACACTACCTTTCTCGCTCTTTTTGTTTTCTGCAGGTCACTCATAGTTTTTTGTTTCTGAACGACATGTCTCTACCACTTCCAGAAGCAGCCTGTACACCAACAGCCTATCGACCTAGGATGGACAAGCCTAACCCGTTTATGAAGGACAAGACATTGAGGCTGGACCCTTTCTTTTACAATGAGGATCCTATGCGGTGGTTACCAGAGATCTATGCGGCTAGTCATGGAGGCAATACCAACGGCTATGTGGAAGGACTGCGAGCCATGTCGACCCGAAGGCACTTTCCGCTACGATCGTCCGTGCGTGTTTTGTTGCAGTACTGTGAGTCTGACCGTGGCAAGGAGCAGCTCGAGTTGCTCAGATCCTTCTCGACATTTGAGGTAGTGTCTAGTCATCTGGCCGTGAATGCTGGGATACGCTCGGGCTGCCAGTTGAAGTACAAGATGCATTCATCGACGAGTCACAGCGCCAGTCCAGGAACGGCCAGTCGGGATGACCAAGTCGATGATACCTGTGAGAGGTCACCACGTAAAAGGACTCGTAATGGGGATGATGATGGCGACAGAGGTACATCTTGTGTTTTTTGTGCGTTCCACGTTGCAAAATATGCGTGATGCTGGGTGAGCGAACTAACGAAGGTTTGGTTTGGGTTCCTTGTTTTGTGTCATGTATGTGCTCTTGTGTGTATAGATACAGCTCTTGTTGGGACTCCAGATCGATCGTACGCGTACGTCGAGGATGTGCAAGATCTGGGCCAAAGTTCATATCCGTCGTCGCCAGGAGAGTCGACACTATCACCACCACCATCCTTTGACTTTGGCAGGAATGTTAATGAAATGGCAGATACATTTTTCAGTGGCGAAGGATCGTTGCAGGACATTCTGTTTGGAAGCCTTCAAGACGGTGGTACGTTGCCTGCGTGGGCAAAGGATCGTCCGGCGTACCAGTTCGAGCTGCGGCTGCAAGACGAAGACTGGGGTCATCGAGTGACCAATCTCTACGAACTTGCAAAGACGAGGGCTGTGCTGAACCATTCCAATGTGGATGAAATTGCGTAAGTTGCATCCAACAAGTACTTGAGAATGGAGCGAGTTGAGGGAAATGCCGTGCACCGTGGCTGATGTGTTATCTCTATTCCTTTTCTCTCCTCTCAACATATATAGGTTGTTATCAGGAATAGTACACTTGAACAAGACCCACATCGGATTCTCCGAGCAGGAAATCAAAGCGATCACGGCCGATGTCGTGGAGTTGTTTTACAGTCAAGATATGAGGGACAACGACCTTCAACGAGCCAAAGAAGCCACGCTTTTGTAGACGAGCTGGATGCAAGTAAGAGGCAATGCTAATACAGTGATGGTATCATGCACGAAAGTGTGCAAGAAAGTGCGCTAACCAAATCACCCTTTCTTTTCCTTGTTATGAATTTCGCTAATAGAGGTGGAAAGGGCTGTTGATGGACGAAAAGGCGTTGGCAATCAAGGAGAAGCGGGATGCAGTCGAAGCGGTGGACACAAAGCCCGTCATGAAAGCGATCATGTCGTCGTATGAAGAGTGTGACGAGAAGCAGATCTTGCCGGCCTTCTTTTTCGCGCTGCATGTGTTTCGTCAATACAACTATTGGGGCCCCCTGCTGTCCGAGTCAGATTGCTTGATGTCAGTGGTTGGCCCGATCTTGAAGGAATTCATGGCCGTTCAGCACGAGATCAAGTTTACCAGGTAAGGAATGAAATGAAAAAAGGATAAGAGGAGTACATGTGGTTGCAATGCTGATGGAAATATGCAATACTGACTGACTGAATATCTGTTATCATTTATTCCTTTGCACTCAGTGCCAACGCTTGCACGCGAGTAGGGAAGGCGCGGAAGACGCATCTGCAACAGAGTGGTCAGTCGCGTCAACCGGATGTAATTGGACTGACGGCGTCAAATGAAGAAGTATTTTATGGTGAGCTCAAAGGACCGACCCCAAAGGCAGCGGCCGTCAACACGGATGTGCTGCGTCTTGCCGTTTTCTCCAAAGACTCTCTCGATCAAGTAAACAAGGTTCTTGTCCAAGGACCACCGATCTTGACTTTCCAGACAGTGGGACGCGACGTCACGTTCTTTTTGGCGGCCAAGATCAACAACACCATTGTTCATACCCGCCTGTCGTCTGTGAGATTGCCAGCGTTGTTGAGCGAGGTGGATGTGGATCTTGACGTGTTCTTTCATCTCTTCCAAGTCCAGTCCTTGGTCCATGTCACAAGGGATCGTCTTGAAAAGAGAAGGGCAGTGCCAGTGCAGGATGCAGTGTTTCCAACACTAGGAACACCTGAAAGGAACGCGGCGCTGAAGAGTCCTATTGTTTCTAGAAAATAAAAAAACTGTATCCAATGATGAATGCTTAGTGGCCTGTCATCCCTCATGCTATCGCCACCTCCCGTCCCGCCTTCCCATTGTGCATACCTCTTTCCTTTTCTGTCGCTTGTGCATCATTGACTCAAGCAAACAAGTATCTATACTTGCTCTTTTTTTCACTGTTGTAGCGTCCTCAAGGGGCAAGTCTATACAATAAAGCATCCTCCTCATCGCCTCGTAGTTGGAACCTATCCATACATTGTGACAGCAATGTCATCGTTGGCAACTGGAGCCGTCAAGTACCTATGAGATGCCCCTTAAGCTGCGCTCAGAAGGAAAAAGAGAGATTGTTACAAAAAGATGGAAAAACTCTTTTCCACAATGCCAACCCAACAGCAACATCAACACCAACACGGAGATGGTGACCCACCCTCTCAACCCCTGCCCTCAATCGGGTCCCCACCATCCCCTTCCTATGCCTCCATGGCAGCTGGAACCCGTAGTAACAATAAACTTCTCATTCACTCAGTGTTTACCGACCCCGAAGAGGGTCACCTTGCTGCTGCCGCTCTTGCACCAAAGGGAGCTCGACTGGGCGACCTGGTGAACCCAAGAGCTGTTGCATACATCGTCCCCAAAACTATTTCTTCTGGCGCGTTTTCGGATGCAGTCAGATCCACCCACTCAACTCTGTTCAAAGCCCATGATGACATAGCACCTCTCCATATTCTTAGCAACATGACCTTCCCCTGCGCTGACAATGTCCACCATCGCATTGAAATTGTGTACCATGAATCTCTGGACACTACAGCTGTTTCCACCACTCCCATTACCGTCGACGACAAGCAGTTTGCCCCCCTTTCATCGACTGTTCCTCACATTATCACCCGTTTCGTCTTCACGGATTACCAGTTCCAGACTTCCCTTGATTTTGGCACCCACCTGGAGCAGTTCTGCTCTTGGTACTTTGAGGACGCCAAGAGAATGGGCAAAGTCATCAAGATCGAGATCCCTCTGTTCCCTACCCCCAACGGCAACCACGAGGCTCGCAGCCAGTTCGCTGTTTATGTCAAGAGTGACAAGACTGCGGACGAATTCAAGATTGACCGCTTGCTCTCCTTGGGCAACCGTCAAAAATCTCCTTGCCGTATCAGTTGGATGGGAGCCTCTCCCTTTTGTAACTATTGCAAGGGACACGGGCACCTCCTTCTCCATTGTCCCAAGCGCTTGGCCATCGTATGCAGTGCGTGCAATGCGAATGGCCACGTCAGCTTCACCTGCTCAAGGTTCTCGGCTAGAGATGCTAAGAGGGCGAAAGGTAAGATGCCTGTGAGAGGGCAACCCACTTCCACCTCTTCCGCTGAATCCTCCTCAGCTTTTACTTCCTCTACTTCCTCCTTTTCTTCTTCCTCTTCTGCTTCCTCTTCTTCTTCTTCTCATGATTCCTCTTCTTCTGATTCTTCAACCTCCTTCTCTTCTCCTTCCTCCACTACTTCCTCTGCTTCTGCTTCTGTACCGCCTGATACAATTTCAAACACCCATCTCGCTTTGACCACTACCAATGTGACCCATCAGTCCCAGTTAGTGGTTTCTCCTTCCAACACACCAAAAGATGACATCACTATGACCGAATGTCATGATCAGGCTCAGGATAAAGGAGAAGAGGTCTTTGATGAGGATTTCAATTTGGAGGGAGCTAACCTGGGAGACCTTGACAGAGCTACCTACAATACTGAACACTCCATTTCCTCCGACAACAACGACCTCCCCATGGAGGATGCTATGGCTGCTTCTATAGCAGCGCGGATCAAGGCAAGACGCTCCGTAGCCAAGACCGCGGTCGCCACAGCAGTTAAGACCATCACCAAGACATCCAACAACATCTACACCAAAGAAGGTAGACCTGCCACTAGATCTACTTCTACAATTAAAAACAATCGGTCACAGTAATGCGGATCGCAAGCTTGAACGTGCGAGGTCTACGTAAGCAGCACCTTCAAAACAACAATGCTACCGGTCCACCTCATTTCTTCACCTGGCTTCGACAAACGGATTTTGACATAATGGCCCTTCAGGAAATCAACCTACCAACATCGCCAACCACTGCTGATCAGATCAATTACAACCAATATCTCAACACTCACAGCTCTGTTTGGTCCCCCCACTGTGCACTCCTTCTTCGCAATCCTGACCTCTCCTTCTCTAACACCTCTTACGCAGAACAAGGAAGGATTATTATTACCACCGTCACCTCTTCATCTTCTTCTTTTATGGCCACATTCTGTGTTATGTATGCCCCAGCCAACAGGACAGCACGAAGGCTATTCATGCTGAACTGTCTCTCCCTCCCTTTCTTTCTCTCCCCTCCCCCAAAGGCCTTTCTTTTAGGCGATCTTAACTACATACATTACACTCACCCTCGTCCTCATCCCCTGTTTCAGGACTGGGTTGATACTCATCTTGTAGACTGCATCACCCCACTTCATACCAACCCCAAGCCCACCTGCACCCCTGCAGGAAACAAAGTCCGTCATACCATTGATTACATTTTCTCCTCTATCCAATTCCTCTCACAGGTATCTAAATCTGAGCAACTCTGCGCATCTCCTTTCTCGGATCACGACATGCTACTACTGACACTCTCCCCCGCCTCCGCCCCCATGACAGGTCGAGGGATATGGCGAATGAATACCCAGCTCCTCAACAACTGCGACTTTATCAAGAATCTCACCGACCACCTGGCGACCTTCTCCTTACCCCGTCCTCACCAAAGCAAGATCCAACACTGGGACAGGGTCAAGATGGAAATCAAACGTTTCTGCATCTCAGCCTCCATCAAAAGGAAACAGGATCGACAATCCGCCCTAAGAGACCTCAACATACAACGCCAAAACAAACTAGCCCAGCTCCCTCTTGCAACCGGTGTAACTAAGGACGCAATCATTCAGGATCTGGAAGCTTTGGAAACATCTCTTCAACAACATACATCGGAAGAACTGGATGCCTATGCCCTCCGGTCGGGAACCTTATGGCGTGAAAAAGGAGAAGGCAACACCGCCTACTTCTTCCGAGCCATCTCTCAACGCAACAAAAAACGACTCGTCCCACACCTACACAATCCTGCCACCGATGCCTTGACAACCTCAACCAATGAACGTCTGGAAGTAGCAACAGACTTTTACTCGCGCCTATACTCCTGCGACCCCTCCGACCAGAATGCAACTAACCGACTACTGGATGCCATCCCCCCACATGCAACCCTATCTGACCAGGATCGCGCCAGACTCGAAGGGACTATCACATCTGATGAGTTAGACCACGTTGTGAGCAGGACGCCCCTTAATAAGGCCCCAGGCAAGGACGGCTTACCCTTTGAGCTCTATCGATACATCCTCCTCATACCCTGGATCAAGGAACTATTCACCGCAATTATCAACGATGCGCTGACACTTGCCTCTTTCCCCACATCCTGGCAAGAGACAGTGATGATCCTCCTCTTCAAGAAGGGCGATGCGACAAAACTGACAAACTGGAGACCTCTTTTCACTCATTAACTCGGATGCCAAACTCTTCACCAAAATCCTTACCCTACGGATTCAACCGTACATGACCAAGCTGACAGAATCGCACCAAACAGGATTCACGGCAGGACGACATATAGCAGACAATGGCTTAGTGCTCTCAACACTCCGAGATTACTGCAAGGCAAGAAGGACAAGACATATTGGCGTACTACTGGATCAGGAAAAAGCATACGACCGTGTGCATCCTACCTATCTTCAACAGGTCTTGAAACGACTTGGATTTCCATCATGCCTTACGGAGTCGATTATTCAACTTTTCTTCTCTACCAGGATTGCACTCAATATCAAAGGCTTTGTGTCAGACACCTTCCCACAATCAAGAGGACTTCGCCAGGGTGACCCACTATCTCCCCTCCTCTTCAACATAGCCTTTGAACCGTTGCTTGCCTCTATCGAACGATCCCCGGCTATTCACGGTATTGAAATCCCTGGTCGCACGGATCCCATCAAGCTCAGCGCCTATGCAGACGACCTCATGACTCTCATCTCCTCCACAACCGAATGGTCAGCATTGGAGGATACCCTACGGACCTATGGCCGCGCATCCAATGCCAAAGTCAACCTGTCCAAAACTGTGGCCTTTCCTATGGCCCCCTCCTACTCCAAAGAATTGCAGACCCACCTGGAACATTTGGACGTGCGATGGCATGACTACAACTCCGCCGATGCTTTGATCTACCTTGGATTCCCTATCTTTTTCAACCGCGATCAGGAAAAAGACTTCTGGGACAAGACTCTGAAGAAGATACAATCAGCCATAACCATACACTCTTCCCGATCCCTCTCCGTCCTGGGCCGAGCCACCATCATCAACTCTCTTATCCTCTCCAAACTTTGGCACCTATCCTGGATTGTCAACCCCCCGCTCGACTTTTTGCGAAAGGTGAAGGCTGCAGTCACCAAATTCGTATGCTCCTTTAAACCAAGGCCATCATGGGAGGTGATCACTACTCCAAGGGACAAGGGTGGCCTAGGCGTTATTGACCCAGCTACTCAATGCCATGTTTTCCAACTCAAGCATATCCGCAATGCTCTCTCCACTAATGTCTCTTGGGGTAAGGACATCATTCTTGATATCATCCGATGGAGGACCAAAACGTCTCACCGCCTTGCCTTCCTCCTAGCACCCCTGGACGGACAGTACAGATCCTTATTGGCAGGGTTTCCCGGTCTGCAACGATTGGTATCTGCGGCGTCCCTCCTCCCTTCCCTCAAAGCACTGGCCCTTGCTGATCCCTTGCCGGACTCTGTAACACTTGCCTCCTCACCAATCGAATGGTGGTTTGAAACGACAGATACCACCATCAAGACCCTCAGACTCCGAGTGGAAGAGCTCTTTCAGTTTTCTCCTGACAACAATGGGCTCCTCCAACTGGTCAGAAAAACACACCTTTCCCCCAAGCTCCGCCTTGCTCAAGTGGAACTAGGGATCCAGGC